CCTAGGTCACAAAGACCTAAATTCCGATCAGGAGAGAGGAGCTGACTTCCTTCTAGTTTATGACTTCATAATTTTGATTCGTCAACTGATTTTACTTCTCAAATAAAAACTCTCGATGCAAAAGAATAAACAAATGAAGGTCGAATAACCCGTTTGTCACCTGCTAAATGTATGGTGGGTTTCACCTTATAAACTAACTGAAAGTAAATCTTTCGTAAACCGCTAGTTACGCGTTACATATAACATTATTCTACACCTACTTGAATATGCAATATAATATATATGTTTAACTATTTAATATAAAACACTACACCATACCTGTTTAAGTATAGAATATGATGTATTACACCATACCTGTTTAAGTATAGAATATGATGTATTACACCATACCTGTTTAAGTATAGAATACGATGTATTATACCATACCTGTTTATGTGTAGAATATGATGTATTACACCATACCTGTTTAAGTATAGAATATGATGTATTACACCATACCTGTTTAAGTATAGAATATGATGTACTACACCATACCTGTTAAAGTATAGAATACGATGTATTATACCATACCTGTTTATGTGTAGAATATGATGTACTACACCATACCTGTTTAAGTATAGAATATGATGTATTACACCATACCTGTTTAAGTATAGAATATGATGTATTACACCATACCTGTTTAAGTATAGAATATGATGTACTACACCATACATGTTTAAGTATAGAATATGATGTACTACACCATACCATGTTTAAGTATAGAATACGATGTATTACACCATACCTGTTTAAGTATAGAATATGATGTACTACACCATACCTGTTTAAGTATAGAATACGATGTATTATACCATACCTGTTTATGTGTAGAATATGATGTACTACACCATACCTGTTGAAGTATAGAATACGATGTATTATACCATACCTGTTTATGTGTAGAATATGATGTACTACACCATACCTGTTTAAGTATAGAATACGATGTATTATACCATACCTGTTTATGTGTAGAATATGATGTACTACACCATACCTGTTTAAGTATAGAATATGATGTATTACACCCTACCTGTTTAAGTATAGAATATGATGTATTACACCATACCTGTTTAAGTATAGAATACGATGTATTATACCTTACCTGTTTATGTGTAGAATATGATGTACTACACCATACCTGTTTAAGTATAGAATACGATGTACTACACCATACATGTTTAAGTATAGAATACGATGTATTATACTATACCTGTTTATGTATAGAATATGATGTACTACACCATACCTGTTTAAGTATAGAATACGATGTATTATACCATACCTGTTTAAGTATAGAATACGATGTATTACACCATACCTACTAAGATATGCAATATAACAAACTGCAGTATACCTCTTAAACAATCTAAGTTAACATATTTTATTATAGTTGAGGATTTTTTTTTGTATCATAATTTAATAGTTTGATAATCGGTATTCAAAAATAATAGGTAAAAGTTTGTCAAACGTCATTTGAAAATAAAACTTAATGTAGAAATGTAAATATATGTAAAATATCCATAGAAGACCCAATATGACCAATATTCTTGCAATACAGTTCGGGGATTCCCATGTTCACTTTGTTGGTTTTCAAATACATCTTCACTGATCGTGCTGCAGATGAAATTATTAGAGTAAGATAAAAACAAACAAACAAGTATTCTATAACGCAGTGCAGTCACATTTTTTGTATGAAAACAAAACAAACAAGTATTCTATAACGCAGTGCAGTCACATTTTTTGTATGAAAACAAAA